TGTTTTTTTTGTAGTTCACCAAAAAAATGCAGCCAGGCGCGCCTCGCCCCAAGCCCATGTCAATATTGGGTTGACTGGCCAAGTCAAACCAAAGCCAACTTCGCGGGCAACACTAACACGACTTCGCTGTTTAACGACACCTCTAAAAGTCACAGAGTCCACTCAAATTTATGTTGAGTCCACTTTAGATTAGCTATTTCAGCCCAGACATTAACTTTAAGCTAGCGTAATGCATGACTTAATGCTCCTATTCCGTTCATTTATTTCGAATATAAAACTTAACTTACAGGATTGTGTTTCAAAATTGCTTTAACTTAAGAGGCATAAGCAGGAGCACAAAACATGACCAAAGTGACATTAAACATGAAAAACATTTCAATTCTTAGGGAGAGGGGCGTTAGAAGAAGGCGAGGAGTTGGAAAATCTTTATAGAATGATTATATTTAAATGCAAAATTAATCTAGAGATCAAAGTAATACACCTTCAAAAAGTTGTCAAGTCTGGGCAGAGCTTTAACTATAATATGATGTTGGGAGTTTAAAATTTGAAATTAAAGCAGAGTTGTGGATTTGGGCTTTCGTTCATTTCAAAAGTTTTACATCAATTCTGATCAAAGTAATATTTTATTTTCAGTATTCAACTGGAGCTCAAATTTTAGACTAGCTAATTACTCAAATTGATTCAGTTTTTGACAAATCACAGTCAGACCCTTGCCTTAGAGGGTATGCGAATTCGATCAATGTTACAGTCAACACTCGTGTTTGATGGCTCACTTGGCGCACACATCTGCCACTCAGATGTTCAAGGCGAGCCCCTCGCCCCACCTCCCCCTCTGCTTTGTGATACACACACTTAGCAATCTAGAGCTTAGTTATTGGCGCTATAGTTGCTGAGTAACTGCCATAAATTTGCAGGCAAATTATACGACATGGCTGTTAAAATAGGAAATAGGAAAATAAAGAACTTAAGAGCCAGAGATAAGCAGCTCGGCGATACGCTTGAACCAGAATGAAGAGCCACAAATTAGCCATGCCGAAATGAGACAGTCCGAATGGCAAATGGCAAACGCATATCATTTAAGACGCACTTCAAATAAATAACCCAAGACCAGAAATAGAAACAGAACCCCAAAGCCGACAGAGACAAAATCCCCAATAGCTGTCGGAATTTTCTAAGATAGCAGCAACAGCAACAACATCAACAACGGCAACAATGGCGACAACTTTGTAAAGTGTCAAAATAAATTCGATATTGTGGCTTAAAAAATGTTTATGGCTGTGAGATAAATACGCGACATTTGCGTAAATTACACGACAGCAGCCAGCAGCAGCCGCAGCAGCAACAGTTGCTGCCGTCGCAGCAGCAGCAGCAGCAACATTTGCCACGCAGAGCGCTGGAAGCCACGCATGCTCAGTGCGGCACAGTTGTTGTTATTGCTGTTGTTGTTGTTCTTGTTGTTGTTGCTGTTGTTGTAGGTGTTGCATGTGTTTTATGGCGCATGCGATCAACTTGTTAAACTGTCACGTTAAATTTGCGTTTTATGTCAGAGCCAACACCAAGAGCAACAGCAACAGCCGCAGCAACAGCCACAGCAAACACCCAACAGCAACATGCCCCAACCACAACAGCTTCTCTATGATGTGCCCATCATCGCCGCATTGTGATATAGAGTGCAGTCAACTGGCCGCTACAGGCGCTTATCAGCGCTGACAAAATACAAAAGACAACATCCGCTGCTGACGCTGCTGCTGCCGCAGACAGTTGCCACCGGCTGGCAAATAGAGTAATAGAGTCAATGCGAGGAGGCTTATCAACAGGCAGTCGCCCAGCTGCAGTTGAAGATGTGCCTGCAGCTCACATATTTACTTAGCTAAGCAAATTTCCAGTCGACAACATCAGCAACATCACAATCATAATCAACAGCCAACATTAACAGCGGTGTTGTCAGCTTTTGGCTGTTGAAAACAGCTAGTTTTACCAGGCAGAAATGTGAGAAAAACGGCTAAATATTGCTTAGAGAAATGAGAAAAAAATGCAAAATTCCTTTTATTGCTTTGACATTTTCTTTATTAAATGATATAACTATTATATGGTAGAATAACAAATATGACTTCCTAGATTATAAGTCAATCAGTCAGTCATTCTTTCAGTCTGTCAACCTGTCATTTAATCTATCAATCAGTCAATCAAACAGTCAATCAGTTCAACAATCAATCAGACAGTCAGTCACTCAGTCAGTCATTCAGTCAGTCTGCCAAAATGGTGTGTCTTCAATCAATCAATCAGTCAGTCAAACAGACAGTCAGTCAGTCAATCGGTCTGTTAAGCGCACAGTTATGCAGTTAGTCAGTTAGTTAATCAATAAGTCAGTCAGTTAGACAATCGATTAATTAAACAGACAGTTAGTTATTACACGTGTTAAATACAGATAAAAGCTTTCCCGCAATTGCATTTTAAAAAATTGCCAGATTTGGCGATAAACAAGCCAAGTCGACAACACCGATCAATATGAACAAGATCATGATGTTCGCTGTGCGTACTGTGCCGGGTTGCAAGCGGCTCGGAGCTTCCAATTCCAATTGCAATTCCAGCGACATTTCCAGTGCCAGCCAACAACCAAGTGCCCATTATTTGCCCAGACTAATTGTTTTGATTTGATTGAATTTCATTGAGAGACGCCGGGCGACAGGCGATAGGCGGGGTGAAGTGCATCAGATTTGCAGCGCAGTTCGAGCTGCGGCCGAGTGGCCGCTGAGGAGGGCTGGCAGTGACTGCCAGTGGCTGCTAGCGCTTGGCAGCGGCGCGCTTTTCCAGTTCCAATTTCAATTCCAATTGCACTTCCAATTCCAATTCCAGTTCCAGTCGCAATTCTGAACTGCCTGTGGCATGTTGTTGTTGATGTTGTCGCGCTTAGCGGGCAGCGTTAATTGTTATCGCATTTTGAGCTCAATACGCGTTATGATCTCTACCGACTCCGGCTCCACGTCGCCAGCGACGCCACCTCCACCGCCTGCCTCCTCCTCCGCCGCCTTCGCCTCCTGCTCGTCAGCTGCCAGCGAGCGTGAAACAGCTGCCAGCCACTTGGCAGCCCAAATAGCCAACTATGTGAGTCATCATCCTCCAGCAGCTTCATCAGCCACATCAACGTGCATCCAACTGAAACTTGTTAAAGTTTCATTTCATTTTGTTTCGTTTGTTTTGTTTTTTATTTGTTATATCGCTGGCTTTTTATGATGCTGCATTTGATTTCACTCGAGTCACTCGTAAGGCGTTTGCTGTGCCTGCTGCAGCGGCTTCTTATCGCTGGCATTAAAAATTTCATTGAACCAGCGATTTACTAAATCAATTAATTTATTTATTATTGACTTTTGCCTGTGTGTGGCAATCGCTCAGAAACAATCTCTCAAATGCCATCAGCCAATAAAACTAAAAAAGGCCTTGCGCCCCGTCATGTAAACAATGCCAGCAACTGAGCCGGCTCCACAAAATAAAACAGGGTGTGCCAGGCCCAAAAAGGAAAGACGCGAAAGTGCTAAACAAAATTATGTGCGAAAATTCGTTAAAGAATTTAGTTTTTTCTTTTATAATTTAAGTGATGCAATGGTGCAAATTATAGATTAAACAAAGAAAAGATATTAAACATTACGGAATGCATTTGCAAAAAGTTTTTACAGAGGTCAGATATATTAAATATGTCATAAAATCTATAAAAGGTTGAGAAATATTTTATTGAGTGATAAAAAAATCAATGATTCGGTATCATTTCCAAAATGTTTGTGAGCAAATTCTTTAAAGAAACTTTTACTTTATTGTTTTTATATAGAAAGTTATAATGGAATTTAAAGAATTATTTTAAAAGTGATAAAAAAGAATAATATTTATTCGATCTTATTGATCAATAAACCTAGAGCTCTTGTTTTAACAATTTGAAAAAGCCAAAAGTTCATAATCTTAGTTATTTTATATGATAGATAGAGTCTTTCTTAAACTATTTTAAAAGGCGAACAATTTAAGATACAATCAAAAATTAACAATTCTATGTTTTTACTTGATAATTACCATCAATAACTCGCGAAGTTTTCAAATGAACAATTATCAATATCTGTCGTATGTTCAATTTTCAATATCTTACGATAAAAAAGCGCTGCATAAATAGACAAAACAACTCTCAGCTTAAATGAATGATTGCGACACCCTGTATTATTACTCGTAGATGCTTATACGTAGACATGTGTATGTATGGTCATGCCTGCCATATCTGATGAGCATGAAGCGTCCGACCAAGTCCGAGTCCGAGTCCGAGTCAGAGTCTCTGTCAGCCGGCTGCTGCTGCTGATTGTGCGGCAACTGTGAAACTGGAGCAGCTGACGCTCGCTGAGCAACAGCACCCGCTCCTCCATAGCCGGCAGTCAGTTTCATTCATTGGGGAGGACGCGAACGTGGACGTGGACATGCCCCCAAAAGTGGCTCAGGCATTATCTCAAAGCCAAAGATCGACAAAACACACACCAAAAACGGAAAGTGAACGCGGCGCAGCGCACGCGTTTCCAGCTGGGAGCGGGTGCTGCAGCTGGAAGCTGGTTAGTTAGTTCAGGTTGGGTCTTAGCCCGCTCCCGCTCCCCTGCTCCCCTGCTGCCGCTCCCATAATGCGTCGCATCATCGATTGTATCAATTCAATTGGACGCAGCAGGTGATTAAAAATTGGTTAGAGCCACGAAATTATCAATGTGAGATCGTTGATTGGCCCGTGTTTGTTGTCGTTGTTGTCGTTGTTGCTTTCAATACCTTTGGGAGCTTTATAATACGCCCATTGAGGAATCATTTTATTTGATTTGTGCGCGATTGGTTTTTAATTTGTAAAGTGGAGCCTAATTAGATCGCCAATCGCTTTGTATGAGTTTCACTTTTCATCGACTTGAGCCTTGAGGCCGGCGTGGGCGCGTTTTGCAACAGGTTTGAAGGTTACATACTAAATCTCTGTCTATTTTATATATTTTTAGGTCACCTCTTGGCTAGGCAATGACGGCGCTGAAAACTTGCAAAAATTCGCACAGCTTCAGTTGGACAACGAGGCGCAGCTGAAGGCACAGGAGCTGGAATTCGAGAAATACTATTTCATAGCCAGGGTGAGCTAAGGCCTTAAATAATAGATGTAAAGTTAACTTAATCAACAAACATCTATTAATCCCTTGCAGAAACACTTGGCCAAGGGTCGCGACCTGCACTTGGCTGCCCAGAAGATAGCCGTACTGAGCGAGAGCGCACGCAACTTGAAGACGGCGCTGGATCAGTTTGCAGAGAAGCTGGAGAAGACGCGGGAGCGCATTGAGGGCGGCGCACGGTTGCTGCACTTGCTGACGCAGCATCAGCGCGAAACAGCCGCGTTAGAGGAGCTGCAGCGCCTGGCCGCGGAGCTGGGCGCCACGGCGCTCATAGACAAACATTTGCCGGCCATGCACAGGGCCAACTCCCAGCCGGGAGCGAGCAGCACGCCCGCTCAGGCTGCCACAAAGCGTGGCAGCTATCGCTGCAGCTCCGGCAATGGCAGCTCCTTTGAGGGTGCAACCGGCGGCAGCCACTGCAGCTGCTGGCGCGAGAGTCGCAATCTGGAGGACATGGATGAGCCAGAGGAGGAGCACGATCAGGAATGCGATGGCGATGCCGATGCCGATGGCGAGGAGCAGCAGTCCAAGATAGCCGATTCCGGTGTCGGCGTCTGCGACAATTGCGAACGCAATCCGAAGCTGGCCCGCATTTGCAGCTGCCAGAGTCTAAACGAGAAGAGGTGAGTGTTGGACAAATGCCAAGATCCAAGACACAAACTGATGCTGATTCACTCCTTGCAGCCACGACGAACTGCTTGAGGACGAGTGCTTCGAGCGGCCCACAAAGCGCTACATGGACATGCACTCGCCCATGGAGGCGAATGCCCATCTACAGTGCCATGCCTCCAATCTGGAGCTGACCAAACTGGAGGAGCTCAGCTGTTTGGAACCAAAAATACAAAAGTAAGTGCGTCAAATGAGTAAGATCTCCGAGTGAAAGCTGAACTGAACAGAAACTGAAATCTTATGAATTGTCTACAGCGTCTAGTTCTTCCAAAAAGCAAACTTTAGCCATGATCCTTCAGCCCTTATCTAATTAATTGCTTGCGATGCTTACTATTGAAACTTTAAGTTTTACATTTTAGTTCAACCTATTCCCAGCTCCCAACCCTATGTAAACGAAGAAGACTATATGTATTGTTCTACTATTATTATTCCAATCATTAAATTCGCATTTCACTTTCGTTGACAGAACGCTTCTATTGATCATGCGGGAAATGATTGGTACCGAACGCGACTATGTGCGCTCCCTGTACTACGTAATCGAGAACTATATCGACGAGCTGCTGCGTGAGGATATTCCGCAGCCGTTGCGCGGCCAGCGGAACGTGATCTTTGGCAACATTGAGAAGATCTTTGAGTTCCACAATTCTCACTTTTTGGGCGAGCTGGAGCGGTACGAGCGCAATCCTCTAAAGGTGGGCGCCGCCTTCCTCGAAATGGAGTCCAAGTTCTATTTGTATGCGCTGTACAACAAGAACAAGCCCAAGAGCGACACGCTGCTGAGCGAGTACGGCAGCTCGTTCTTCAAGCCCAAGCAGCTCCAGCTGCAGGACAAGATGGACCTGGCCTCTTACCTGCTAAAGCCGGTGCAGCGCATGGGCAAATATGCGCTGCTCCTGCAGCAGCTGGTCAAGGCGGTGAAGAGCGTGGAGGGCGCTGCGCTGCAAGAGATCGCCGCCGATGTCGAGGAGCTGCAGCGCGCCGAGGAGATGGTCAAGTTTCAGCTGCGTCACGGCAACGATCTGCTGGCCATGGATTCGCTGCGCGACTGCGACGTCAATGTCAAGGAGCAGGGACGACTGCTGCGCCAGAACGAGTTCCTCGTCTGGCAGGGACGTGGCGGCAAGAAGACGCTGCGCCAGGTGTTCCTCTTTGAGGAGCTGGTACTGTTCAGCAAGGCGCGACGCTTTCCCGATCACAAGGTGCGCATGCCAGCCTAGGCCAGACCAATCCCATCCCAACTAATGCCCGTTCCATTGCAGAATCTGGACATTTACATATACAAGAACAGCATAAAGACCTCGGACATTGGTCTGACGGCGCACACGGGCGACTCGACGACCAAGTTCGAGATTTGGTTCAGAAAACGCAAGCCGGACGACACTTGGATGCTGCAGTGCATGTCGGAGGACATCAAGAATGCCTGGACCGAGGAGATATCCAAGCTGCTCTGGAAACAGGCGAAGCGAAATCGAGGTGAGTGACATAACTAAAGAGCGCAAGATAAACTCTCAAATTCACCATTAACTGCCGCAGAAATTCGCCTGGCGGAGATGTCTTCGATGGGCATTGGCAGCAAACCCTGCCTGGACATACGGCCCAGCAACAATCAGATCAGCGATCGCTCCATACCCCTAACCCAGCTAAACAAAAGTAAGTGCCTGGCCTGGAAACAGAAGCAGTTCTTTTACACCTTTATTTGTTTTATACAGCGCCCAAACTGCGTCATGCGGAGCCGGGCAAGGGCAGCATGCGCAGACCCAATTCGCTCATCTCGGAGAGCTCGTTGTCCAGTGGCACCAGCACCACCAGCAGCTCCTCCATCAGCGGCGGCGGTGGTGGCTGCTCCTCGGGCATGCATGCGGCACACGAAACCGGACGCCACAGCCTCAATCTGAGCTTCAGCAAACTGACGGGCAGCCACTTGGGCATCAGCAGCAATAGCGGCGGCAACAACAACAACAACAACAACAACAATAATCCCACGGCCACCTTGGAGCTAATAAACGAAACACAGGCGCTTAAGCTGAGCAACAGCAGCGAGCCGGACAATGCCAACGCGAGTTCTAGCCAACGATATGCCACGCCCACGCTCGTCAGCAGCGGATCGAGCAGAAGCAATAAGCGAAATCACAAACGCTCCACAACAATTGTCAGCCAGCTGTCCATGGGTATAGAGCTTGAATTGTGCTACTTCTTCTAGAGGCCAACAGTTGCTTTTAGTTTTGTATAAAATGTTTGTCTTCCCGTGTATATAAAAACAACACCCCACACCCCACACCCCACCCCAGTATTATTTGACACTCTACTGTACATAAAACACCCCCCGCTCTGTCGCTCACCTCTAACCACTAGTTGTATTTGCATGTTCTTTGTCTGTTTCCGGCTAGATTTGAATGTTATTCGTGCATAATTTACACTCTCCCCCTATATATATACTTATATGCATATCTAGAGAGCGGCATTCTGTCAGACATGTCCATCACGCCGGATCATCAGGAGCACGGCCACGCCCACGCCGCGGAGCAGTTGTCTGGCAGTCGGGGCAGTTGGTCCACATCCACATTCGGCACGGCAACAGCCACAGCCTCCACCTCGACGGTGATCCTGCGTCGCTACAAGTCGTACGCCCACGCTGCCGAGGCAGCAGCGCCGGAGAGCAACAAGTGAGATCGAAGTGGAAGTCGAAGTTGAAGTGTCGCAGTTTTCATCTCAGTTTTCGATGCCCGCATAGTTAGTTACGAGAAAAATGAATACATAGCTTTAGCGAAAAACGGTTTCATCAGATTCAGATTTACATATAATACATATGCATACTTATTATTACTATTATTTTTTTGTTATTTATTATTTATTTTTGATTTTAGTTGCGTTAATTTTTTGTCATCAATTTTCATCCTATTGTATTATTTGCCTTGGATGCATTTTCTTACATTTATCACATTCTCTGTTTTTAGAAAATTTAAAAATTATTGAATTCAATGTGTCAATGTCGAAATATATTTCATAGCTCTTAATCAACCTTAATCTACGCGTACAACCCACACACAACACACAAATCGAGGGGCACACACACAAAGTGCCAGCCGAAATGGGCGTTACCACGCCCAAAAGAAAATCAATCGAAATCGAAATTCATAACGTACAGTTAGTTAATATATGTAAATTAAGTGCCTATCTTTAGATTATCGTAAACAATATACATACATAATTGCATATCTTTACAAATATGAATAATGTATACAATTAAGCAAAGAATTGAATAAATGTTGCTTCGAAATATTTAGAATATCGAAACATATCAGCAGGGCCCCCCACACAAGCCAAGAATCTGTGTGTGCTGCTTAACAGTTAAAATGTTGCCTCTCCGAATTCTGTTTGTAATTCCCAACAGCTTATTCGCCGCCCTGCTGGTATAAATAACTAGACGAATAGAAAGTTTCGCAATATGAAGATAATTTTACAACCCGAACCCTCGTGTGGGCCTTTGCCGTTTTTGGTAAAGGGACGTAATTCTGATTTATGCAACTTCTATTTTACTTTTTTGTATATTTGTTTTTTCTTTTTTATCAAAAATACAAAATTTTGTACTTATACTAGTTAACATAAAGCGCTTCTGTTAGCCGCCGTGCAGTGTGGATATGAAAAGCACGTTATCATTCTGTTGCAGCTCATAGTCTAGCTCGCCCTGTAATAATACAATAGCTTTAACTGACGGTTCTTTATAAGATAAGAATAGGTCATCTTACCAGCAGCTCCCAGTCCGTATCATTGATCAGCACCAGGATGCCGGGCCGTCTGTGAAACAGAAGAGCCAACAAACATAACAAAAGGAACAATTGCTGCTGCCAAAGACTCACTTACACCGTACTTTCCTGAATGAATAGCTCAGGACGTTCTGTTAAAATGTTGGCGTGCATCCACTTTAGCAAATTCGCTATGGTCCCTGCAATAAATCGTTTTACGGCTGGCAGTAAATTATGGAAAGTACCGATGGATTCTCACATTTTTGGTCACCGTCCAATGCAAGTTCCCGCCGTTTGATGTTGCCAAAGAGCAGTTCGGCGCCAGCACTGGAAGAGGAGTTCTTTGAATAACGGTAAGCTTGAACATTTTCACATATTACCTGAACTCCAGTATTATTTTTAAGTCCGGCATCTCTTGGCAATCTACAGTCAATTTATTATTGTTTTGGATGTTTGACATTCACCATAAAAGACAGAAATTAACACTGCGTCGAGTGCTCAGTTTTGCGCAATGTTACTCATCTTGCGTTTACATAGCTGCTTTTGCGCCAATAAGCTCTTTTTGCGTTTCTGGATAAAAAAATTTTTTATAAACCTTCATTTTTTGAACGCAAATGGATAATATGATACTAACGAGTCAAAAATCTTTCCAAAATCGGGCATTATTTGGCCGAGATATGCCAAAATCTCAACAAAAAAGGTTGCCTTTTCAAACGAATCGATTTTTGGTCAACAACTTTTATTAAGAAATCGATTGTTAATTTACTTGAATGCCAATTGATAGTAGGGATCCGTACGAATTCAAAAAGGTATAACATTTTATAATCTAACGATATTTATCCGATTTTGAGAAAAAACGTGATGTAACGCCTTGCTTTTTTGGTCGATTTGGGTCAAAATTTAGATTTTCATTTCTTGAACGCCAATCGATAGTACAGATCCTTACGAGTCAAAAATGGTATATCTTTCCAAAATCGGACATTATTTAGCCGAGATATGCCAAAATCCCAACAAACTGGGTTGCCTTTATAAACGAATCGAATTTGGGTCAACAACTTTTATTAAGAAATCGATTGTTAATTTACTTGAATGCCAATTGATAGTAGGGATCCGTACGAATTCAAAAAGGTATAACATTTTATAATCTAACGATATTTACCCGAGATATTGAAAAAAAATCATCGAAAAAGTTTTGATTTTCGAACCGACCCCGATTTTAAGAAAAAACGTGATGTAACCCCTTGCTTATTTGGTCGATTTGGGTCAAAATTTAGATTTTCATTTCTTGAACGCCAATCGATAGTACTGATTCTTACGAGTCAAAAATGGTATATCTTTCTAAAATCGGACATTATTTGGCCGAGATATGCCAGAATCTCAACAAAAAAGGTTGCCTTTTCAAACGAATCGATTTTGGGTCAACAACTTTTATTAAGAAATCGATTGTTAATTTACTTAAATGCCAATTGATAGTAGGGATCCGTACGAATTCAAAAAGGTATAACATTTTATAATCTAACTATATTTACCCGAGATATTGAAAAAAAAATCCATCAAAAAAGTTTTGATTTTCGAACCGACCCCGATTTTAAGAAAAAACGTGATGTAACCCCTTGCTTATTTGGTCGATTTGGGTCAAAATTTAGATTTTCATTTCTTGAACGCCAATCGATAGTACTGATCCTTACGATTAGCCGAGATATGCCTAAATCCCAACAAACTGGGTTGCCTTTATAAACGAATCGTTTTTTGCGCTTCAACTTTTATTAAGAAATCGATTGTTAATTTTTTTTGTAAATTTTCAGAGCTTTAACTCGACCATATCCTTATGGATCCTGACAAGGCCTGTGTCAAATTAATCGTATGAACAAGGACAATAAACTGTCCAAAGGACATAAAATCGTCCTTGCCGTTTCCGATATATAGCCAATTTTTTAAAAAGGACATTTTTTAATTGGCCTTAAGTTTGCCAACTTCGAAAGGATATCGGAAGGATATACCGTTTCAGCTCGTGGGGAGCAGGACTATCGATTGGCATTAAAGAATTTCCAGAATTCGACAAAAATTTCATAAAATCTCATATTGTGATGCAGATCGATGTAGGAGGTCTATACGATCATAACGCACTTTGTCCTTTGAAAATCTGCAAGGACAGGACCGAGCTTTGGCCTATTTTCTGCTTTTACATAATTATTTATATGTTTAATTTAAATGTGTTTTTATCGTTTCAGATTTAAAAAAATGAAGGACTACAATAAACTCTAAGGACCTTCACGAGTGACAAAACTTTTTATTCCAGGATCGTATCTTAATTAAGCCAGATATAGTTACTTTAAGTTTCAATAAGCTAAAATTATAATTTATGCTCCATTTGTATAATTTAACAGTTATAATTTAGAAAACTTGTATAAAAAACAACACTTTTATAAATTTAAATTTAAATAAATCAATTTTTTAAAATAAACAACACTAAACCAACAAACAACCCTATATTCTATTTTAGAAGCTATATGTCAAGAATGGGGACTCAAGCTCTTATTATTTACCAAAATTGCCCAAAAAAAACAGGATATCGATTTTTATCGATTGCTTGGAAACGGAGTAAGTTATCGATTTTTGGAAACAAACTCGATATGCACAGGCACTAGGAGCATTCGTGATGATTTGGAAGGTCATATCTCCGCGAGGAGTTCTGTCGTTTTGAAACGTCATATCTCCCGCGGATTTCTGTCGTTTTGAAACGTCATATCTCCCGCGGAGTTCTGTCGTTTTGGAACGTCATATCTCCCGCGAGGAATTTTGTCGTTTTGAAACGTCATATCTCCCGCGGAGTTCTGTCGTTTTGAAACGTCATATCTCCCGCGGAGTTCTGTCGTTTTGGAACGTCATATCTCCGCGAGGAGTTCTGTCGTTTTGGAACGTCATATCTCCGTGAGGAGTTCTGTCGTTTTGGAATGTTATATCTCCGCGCGGAGTTCTGTCGTTTTGGAACGTCATATCTCCGCGCGGAGTTCTGTCGTTTTGGAACGTCATATCTCCGCGAGGAGTTCTGTCGTTTTGAAACGTCATATCTCCCGCGGAGTTCTGTCGTTTTGGAACGTCATATCTCCGCGAGGAGTTCTGTCGTTTTGGAACGTCATATCTCCGCGCGGAGTTTTGTCGTTTTGAAACGTCATATCTCCGCGCGGAGTTCTGTCGTTTTGGAACGTCATATCTCCGCGCGGAGTTCTGTCGTTATGGAACGTCATATCTCCGCGCGGAGTTTTGTCGTTTTGAAACGTCATATCTCCGCGCGGAGTTCTGTCGTTTTGGAACGTCATATCTCCGCGCGGAGTTCTGTCGTTTTGGAACGTCATATCTCCGCGCGGAGTTCTGTCGTTTTGGAACGTCATATCTCCGCGCGGAGTTCTGTCGTTTTGGAACGTCATATCTCCGCGAGGAGTTCTGTCGTTTTGGAACGTCATATCTCCGCGAGGAGTTCTGTCGTTTTGGAACGTCATATCTCCGCGAGGAGTTCTGTCGTTTTGGAATGTTATATCTCCGCGCGGAGTTCTGTCGTATTGGAACGTCATATCTCCGCGCGGAGTTCTGTCGTTTTGGAACGTCCAAAACGTCATATCTCCGCGCGGAGTTCTGTCGTTTTGGAACGTCATATCTCCGCGAGGAGTTCTGTCGTTTTGGAACGCGATATCTCCGCCCGGAGCTCTGTCGCTTTGGAACGTCATATCTCCCGCGGAGTTCTGTCGTTTTGAAACGTCATATCTCCCGCGGAGTTCTGTCGTTTTGGAACGTCATATCTCCGCGCGAAGTTCTGTCGTTTTGGAATGTCATATCTCCGCGAGGAGTTCTGTCGTTTTGAAACGTCATATCTCCGCGAGGAGTTCTGTCGTTTTGAAACGTCATATCTCCCGCGGAGTTCTGTCGTTTTGGAACGTCATATCTCCGCCCGGAGCTCTGTCGTTTTGGAGCGTCATATCTCCGCGCGGAGTTCTGTCGCTTTGGAACGTCATATCTCCGCGAGGAGTTCTGTCGTTTTGGAACGTCATATTTCCGCGCGGAGTTCTGTCGTTTTGGAACGTCATATCTCCGCCCGGAGCTCTGTCGTTTGGGAGCGTCATATCTCCGCGCGGAGTTCTGTCGTTTTGGAACGTCATATCTCCCGCGGAGTTCTGTCGTTTTGAAACGTCATATCTTCGCGAGGAGTTCTGTCGTTTTGGAACGTCATATCTCCGCGCGGTGTTCTGTCGTTTCGGAACGTCATATCTCCGCGAGGAGTTCTGTCGTTTTGGAACGTCATATCTCCGCGAGAAGTTCTGTCGTTTTGGAACGTCATATCTCCGCGCGGAGTTCTGTCGTTTTGGAATGTTATATCTCCGCGCGGAGCTCTGTCGTTTTGGAACGTTATATCTCCGCGCGGAGTTCTGTCGTTTTGAAACGTCATATCTCCGCGAGGAGTTCTTTCGTTTTGAAACGTCATTTCTCCCGCGGAGTTCTGTCGTTTTGGAACGTCATATCTCCGCGAGAAGTTCTGTCGTTTT